TCCTTTGGATCTTCTGGCAAGGCTACTCGTGGATTAGTGAACCAATCTTCTGGAATTCTTTGGAACTCGTAGAAGTTATGGAGTATCTTGATTTTCTCTTTGAATTGGCTATCCTCATGAGATAGTAATCCAATGTTGAGACTCAGATCAATATCTATAAGTCTTCGAGGTAGTTTTGGCTTGTTGATCTGAGATATTTCTAGGTTGACCCAGAGTGGGCCTAGTGGAAGAGAGAAGCGGAAATCGGATTTTAGGATCCTAATTAGAAATTGGGTATCGTGTGGGTTTGTAGTAGGGATTTGAATGTCTAGTTTTGAACGATACTCATTAATTGTTGATGGGGAATAAGGAAGAGGTTGTTTGGGTTTGAAGAAGTTAGAAGGAAGATGTTCAAAGTAGTATTTGGATCTAAGGTTTTTTATAGCTTCACTAATGCTATTTGTGGATGTGTCAAGAGGGAAGTTACTACGGAATTCTGGTTCCAGTTGGTCAGAAGAGGAAGGAAAAGGAATCTTAGGTGAAGGAAGGTCAAAGTATGATAAGGGGATCTTGGATGGAATGATAAAAAATATTTTGAGTTCTCTGATCTTATTACCCAGATTCCTGAGATCTTTTCTTCTTTTGATTGGAAACAGATATGAGACTTCCTTGGAAAGATTTTGAAAAAGGTTGGGTAAGTCTGGGAGAGTGACGAAGTATAAGTCTGGTAGTAAATTAAATTTGTAGATGGAATGAAGTAATCCAGCTACGCTTGCTATGGTACTTCTGTCTATGATTGGGATTCTGTGGGGAATCTTGACTTTAATTCGTGATGGGATGAGATCTGGAGAGGAAGGAAGTTCTAAAAGGTTGTCTTTGAACATTTTTTTGCTTAGTTGGAGAAATTTGTGATAGTCTAGTTTACTGTCTTCCTTGGGGCGGCACAGGTAGTTGCAACCATACTCCATTATTTGTGCCAGAAGGTGAGGATTAAGATCAAAGATGTTGATGTATCTCAAGTATGCGATAAATAGGCTGGTACTTAGCAAGAGTTTGATCTTGTTTCTGACTTCTCTGTTGAGCTCTGAGATCTTATGTTTACTTTTATAAATTCTTTCGAAATAACCTTTGAGTTTCTCATATTCTATTTGGTAGTCTTCTTTGAGTTCTGACATTTTGTTAAATCTGAAGAAACCTCTGTTTCTTGCTTCTATTCTGATGAAGATAGCTAGACGGGATTTTTGTCTAACCTTATCTTTTGGTTGTCTGTGGATATTTAGTAAGAGATTGATGAGTTCCTTTGGATTGTTTCTGATTGAAGAAAATTTGGAGGCCCACTGGATAATCCGATGGTGTTCGCTGACAAGATCATCAGAAATGCTTGGGTCTTTCTCTTCTTCATCTGTATTAATAGTAATGTCGTAGTCTTCTATCCCTGAGCTTTTCAAAATTAGATCTTTCTCATATGCCCATAATCTTTTGTGGGCCGTGTCTATTTTTTCTCCATTAGAACTTCTGTTTGCTGGTCTCTCCTGTCTCTCAGGCTTTTGTTGTCTTCTAGTTGAGAGGATAGGGGATGGAGATCGTGACGAAAACAGAATAGGGTTGTTAAGTTGCTTGTAGCCTCTATTTGTTGGTAAGATAGTTGAGGTGTCAAAGCTGAGGTTGTTAGTGGTTTTTTCCAAAGTATTTTCTTCTTCTTGGTAGGTATATGTCTTGATGGTGTTGCCCATTTCTATGTCGTCTGGAATAGGGAAGTCCAGATTGATGGACATTGATTGATTATCTTTATGTAGATCTTGTTCTAATAAATGTAATTGATTGGTTGTTATATTTGGCATGTCTGGTTGGCCATTTTCTGTATGGCGGCTGGGTTCTGATTGGTTAGGAGTTTTATTTGGTTGATGTTTTGGATTGGCGGTTGTTCTTGGGTCTAGTTGATCTGTCAGCTTGTTAGCAGTCTTGGGAGATGGATCTATCTTACCCGTAATCCATTTAACGCATGCCTAAAAAATGCATAAAATATAAAGAATGTATTAAATGGATCGTGCAACCTAATAAAAATTATTCCGACGTTCTACCTTATTCTGGCAGATTTTTAAGTAGGATAGATTTAGGTCACAATGATTCTATCGGCCTTTATATTAAGTTTGTCAATCAAAGCGACCTAAGTAATAGTACCGAAAACAACATATCTATAAATTTATTTGATCCAGGTAAATTTATCAAAAAATTAAGAAGAAACCTTTGCTATGTATTAATTAATCCAAGAATAACCTAACATTGTATTATGGTAGAATATAATCCGCGACTTGAAGGTTTTCATGCAGATATATATAGCTCATTTGATGACTCGCTAAACTCCATGAATTATTATTATTTATCTAAAAGAACAAGAATGGTAAGTACGTTTGAGATGATCAAGGGGATTGTTTATTTATTAAAAACATATTCTTGCCAAATAAAAATACTGCAGCATTATCAACTGAAATATTTCCGAGTGATTAGACACACAATAAAAAATACCGCTCTAAGTTACGTTGGCTTTCGACCAGAATATGATACACAGATATATGATGAATCAGTATTAAGTAAGTATTAATTGTTTTAAAAACCTTACATCTAACCCTGTTAAATAATATACTTTGATACTTATTTGATCAACGATTGTAGATGTTATTTCAAATAGCTTACCATCCATCTCAAATGAAGGATCTTTTGTTTATGCAATAATTGACATTACTCCCCACAGAAATTTGTTATAGATGAGTTAAAAGAGCAAAGGTAAATCCGTGATCAAAGTAAAACAATTTAATCGCGTTATCTCTATTAACATAAACTACAAATGCAACTTATAGAACATACACAGTAAGTAATGGTCAGATCAAATTTGCTACGAGCGACAAATTAATCTAGTTTTTTTTTATTACCCATTAATTTATTTACTTAATTTACTTAGATTTTAAGTGTATTGGGTACGGTTTGTGCTTATTACGGTTTTATTTTGGCTGTTTATACATGTTTATTCGGTGTGTTATCGTATTTATATCGCGTTTTATTATTATGCGTACATTATTTGACATTTATTAAATTGAATTTTAGGTGTTGAGATAATAAAGCCATGGGGTGTTGTTCATAATGGATTGAGCAGAATTGGATGCATCAATGAGGAAGTCGAAGAAGTCGAAGATGCCACTGATCGCGATAAAACTATCAATAAAATGGAACTTGGAGATTTGGAACAAAGAATCAAGGATTTAGAAGAATTTAGAATTTATATTCGAGAAAATGTTCTCGATCTTTCTTTGCCGGAATTTGCAAAAAATCGCATCGAAAAGCGAGAATGAAAGAGATAGATGGTTGATGGTGGATCGGATAGCTGTTCTTTCACTTCACATACTTAATATCGATATATTTACGCCATCTTTTAAAATATTATTTAGTTAAAAAAACAACACGTTATTTAAATTTAAAAATGATTTTTGCAGTAAGCTAGTACAGTTGTCGATGCGTTACTGTATTTTGCAAATATTAAATTCGTTTGTATTAAGATTTATGACCAAAGCAAAGTTATCTATTGATTAAATGTTATTATAAAGGTTGTGTTTATATGGTTTTTATACAAATTGTATGATGAGATTTATATATTTACAAAAAGATGAATGGCATGCAATATTGCAATACTTATTTTAAAACTGGTCCAAATAAATATAGATATTAATTCCAAAATACACTAGTAAACTTGTATCTCGTTTGTAACTAGTGACATTAAATTGTTGAAATAGTCATTTGCAAAAATTTAACTTAAATTCCTATTATTCAAATTTTTTTACTGAGAATGGGAAAATTCATAATTGTAAAATTATTAGTCGATTTATTTAAAGGTTGATTGTATATTTCTTTTTATATAACAACTTTTTATCACCTTTATAGTTATAAGAAATAAACAAGTTCGAAAATTCAAGATAAACTATATATAAATATTTATAAATTAATGTAAATATTATAAATAGAACATGATAAATAAAATAAAATAGAAAAACAAGAATTTTATATATCAAATTAATATATTAATCAATCTAATAGCTTAAAATAATAACGATAATGATGATTGAAGCAAGGCTTAATTAATAATTTGCCAAATACTTGACAAAATCTGATAATCTAGATACAATTGTTATATTACCATTGTTATCAAGTTTTAATTCAATTGAAAATTTTTAAGCAATAATGAACAATAGAATAAAATATCTTTAATACACAAATTATTTATTGTTTTTTTTTACTTCTCATTATACTTTGTTTTAAGATTATTTATAAATTTTTAATCAAATTATAATAATCGCTAAATGTTTTAACCAATTGTGGCGTGTTTTTTGATAAGTCTTTTAGATTTGTACATTATTCTTGAATAAAAAATTACCATGTTATTACATTATCTGGCTATCTAAAAACTATTGTATTATGTATAATCAAATCTATATATTATATTAATTATCAAAGACTTTCAAATTCTTTAAATTCTCTAATATGGTTATAAAAATAAAAATGTTGATTTATATCCAAAAAAAATTATCCTAATAAGTAAATCTCTCCAAATCAATATTTAAACTAATAAGATTAATTCTTTATTTCTATTATAGCTGAATAAACTATTTATTTTCTATTGTGATATTTCCAATTAAAAAATTAAAAATAAACTTAAAACAAAATTTATTGCTTAAGTAATTGTATTCTATGTAATTTTATAACATAAAGTTATGATAATATGGTATATTGATATACAAGAAATATATACAGTGTGCAACAAAACTTTTTGGAATCTTATTTACATGACATAAATGTAAATAACTTTTTCAAAACAAATGTAATTCATGTAAAATTTTAAACATGTAAAAAATATATCTTAACAATTATATATATATTATTAAATTTTCCAACTTGTTTTATTTTTTTATAAACTTATTCTAACAATCTTATTTTCTGAAAAATATACACAATGTCAAACTATATTACATTTGTGAAAGAATTGAATTACTTCTGCAAATTGAATATATTCTATAACTGATATAACTACATCAACTATTTATTATAATCTTAAAAAATTAAATTTCAAAGAAAATAATTCAATAAAATCAGATAGATGTCAGTCTAAAAAGATTACTGCACATGGATCAAAAGCAATTGGTCAATATTTATGTCATAATCCAAGACTTTCAACAAAAACTTTGGTAATTAATTGTTAAATATGTATATTAAAGTATCTTATATAACAATTTCAAGACATTTAACTAGCACCTGTGGGTCTGTAGTGTAGTGGTTAACACTTCACAGGTCAAATCACAAGATACCAGTTCAACCCCATGTGAGGGCAGTTGAATAGAAT